TTTTGCTCATAAACCTTTTGTAGCTGAATGAACTCTCTGAGTGAAAAGTTAGGTCTCCACAACAAACCTGTTAAGCCTATTTTGTCTGAGAAAACTGAAGTTTCAGAGCTTGTGATCTAGAGCTGCGGGAAGGTTGATGGAATGTGTATTACAGCATATTAAGGACACCGAAACATTTGAATATTTGTAGTTAGAAGAAACATGCACTAATCTTTCTCTTCTTAGAATTTCTGAATCTGCAATGGGTAGAACAACAGACACAGACTGCTCTTCTGCTACACTGGCTAGATTATTTTTGTTTTCAAAAGGCTATTTTTATTTGTTGACGTTACTGCAGTGGTGTACATAATTGATCCATCTAAAATCAAAATATAAATGACCACCACTGCCAAAGTCATTATCCACAAGAAAAGCATTGATTCCCAGTGTAATTATTACTTTAGCAAATCAATAAAAGGCAGTTTGGTGGAATTAATTTCTTTCTCTGTCTTGTTTCATCCTTGTTCATTCTCGTGTGGTCAGTATACCATCCGAAGTGCCTTCTATAGCTTTGGATATCATAAAATAGTGCTGCAGGTATGAATATAGGCTGAATAAGGATCTCTGTCACTGCTGTTTAGTCAGAAATTGTGACAGACACCTTTAAATCTTCAGGGTATGATTCTTTGTATGGTCATTAAGAAGTTCATGTTTATAGTAATTGAAGTAAACCTAAAATGCTTGGGGGAAAAACTGTGTAGAGTGTGGCTTAAAAAAGGAGTGTATCTTAGTTCTCTAAGTTCTTAAAACTTCACCCTGAAGTGCATGTTCTCAGGCAATCATATCTCAAGCATCAGATATTTTATCTGAGGTATTTTTCTACTTGCCATGAACTACATAGCAATCAACTGTGAGAATGGTAGGTTAGATGTACACAGCACGTGGCAGAGTCCATCTTTGGAAGCCTGTAGTCCGAGTTAAAATAACAGTGTACATAAGGTAAATGCAGAGGATTGGATCGTAAAGTTGATAATTAGGAGAATATCGGGGTAATGTGGTTATGCGCACTACTTTGCCTTTCCAGTGAGCAACGTGTGAAAGGCTTGGCAGTGCACAATTCGTACTGCTGTCTTGTGCTCACGCTAGTCATTGTGTATGTTTTTATAATAGTCATTGTTCACTGCATGGGGACTTCTTTATTCACCTATTCTATGACTATTCAACATTCATTTCTTTAATTATTCACTGGGAGGAAAAAATAAACAAAAGCTTGAACATACCTGGTAGCTAGTGCTTTCTGTGTTGCTGATTTTTAAGCTAGATCTGCAAAGTCAGTTTTAACCTTATTAGTGATGCAGAAACATTTTTTATGGTAGTATTGCTCTAAGTCATATGTGCCTCCTCTAATTCAGATTTATGCTTCTGAAACTACATGTTTTTTATTCAGTGTTTCACTGAAAGAACCTTGTCATAATCTAATTCAAGAGAAAGTTAATTATGTTAACATTTCACTCATTGTCACTCCCAGCAAGCCATGTAGCAAGCTGATCAGAAGTACCTCATTTTCTGTGCTTTTATAGAATAGAAAATCATCACAGAAAGTGAGTCAGAAATTTTTTTTAGGGGTGAATCACAGAACTGAGTGTTGAACAGGTTTGTTGAATCCACCAATCCTGCAGCATACTTGCTTAGAGTTGGCTATACAGAAGTGTTAAGTGTTTGTTTTTGCTAGCAGTCTCCAAGTACCTTAATCAACTTAAAAAAAAAAAAAGAAAAAAACAAACCACCTTCTGTATAAAATATTGTGATAGAACTATTGAAGTGATTATGATTGCTTTCCCAACAGTTAGGGCTGAAGCATTTCTGTTTGCTCAGCTGAGAGTTGAAGTTGGTATTTATCAGAGATTTATGACTTCTTTTCTGTGAAATGCATCTTGGGTGCACAGGGCAAGCCAGAGGCTTGCTTTCTGGTCAGCAAAGTTCAGTGATGGGTGTGCATCAAAGAGCCTTGTACTGATCATAGTACTTTGATCGGCTGTTAAATGTTCCAGAGGCCCAAGGTACAAGAATATTATTTTTTTTAAAGATATGAGAGAGATTCCACTTATAAAAATGGTGTGTGTGGGGAACCATAGTCAACAGTGCAATCACACTTAAATGACACAGAATGCTTGATTTGCGAAAGAAATCCAGATTTCTGTTCCCTATAACTGGCTTTTTATTTTCTTTATCTCTGGCTAGGTTGTGTTCTAGAAAGTCTTTACTCTGAAGTCTATCAGGAGGAGGTTTAGCGGCACTGGGATTGTCTCTTGTTAGGTTAGCACCTTGAGTGTATGACCTGATCTGAATCTAGGGAGAAAAGATCCTGTCTTTCTGATGATAGTACAAGACTTACTTGACACTGGATTTTCTGTACCTTGATCATGCTATTGGAAACACAACAGCAGCCTCTCTCAAACCGTGAGTTTTGTATTGCTGTGTGAATCACTTGCACTCATCCACTCATCAGGGGGTTTGGACCCTGAGGTACATGTTTTTGAGACCAGGGTTGAAACCATGTTTATACAGAAGTCCTTACATGTGTGTATATAAATACATGCTCACACACATATAGATCTCTGATTCCAGTTAGGATTGTTGTTTTCGTACCAGTGCAATAATATTTCTAGGGCTTTATATGTGGCACAAAGTATAACTCTTCAAGAATATACTTTTTAAAATAGGTTCTCCAGCAGCTAAGTTATGTAATACAAAATAGAACAAATCCATAGCAAGGGTAAATGCAACCCTTATGCCTCAACTTTTAGTATTGATCAATATTTTAAATTTAAGTTCATTTTTTACCCTTGTTGTCCAGCAGAATGGTATGTCAAAACGGTTGTGGTTGTATACCACTTCAGTGCAGAAGTATAGATAGAGGTATGCACAGAAGTTAGTTCTCCAGTGTTATCCTGTTCAATACTTTTCACAGTGACAATCTCATGGGACTTGACTGTAGGCTCATCTGCAGCATTTTCTTTCCAGTTCTGTGCATGTCTGTGATGCTTATCTTGATAGGTATGCCTAGAATTCATCAGATAACCAAAAAAAGCACTTGCTCATTTTCTGTCTGAATGTCATTAGTCTGATGGGTGACGCCAGTGACAGGATACTCCAAAATCCTCCTTTTTGTATGGTTCTACAACAGTTCAGTAGATTTCCAGAACAATCAGGTGGTCTTTTTCTTTTTTAGGGGAGAGGGGGTGGTAATTTTTAAATTTGATTTGGGTGGTTTTTGTCCAGTTACAGACGTTTTTGCCAACAGTATTGACAGTGCCTTTTTTTCTTTTCTTCATAAGTGTCAAATTCCTGGTAACTTAATTTTGGCTCGTCAGTGTGAGGGGTGTGCAGCGCGGGGCTCTGGGAATCGCGCTCCCCCGTCTCCGCATCGTGCAGCACCACGGCCAGGGGCTCCGTGCGCCGCCGCCCGCCCGGCCCAGCCGCCGGGGTAAGCACCATGGAGAGGGGCGCTCGGGGACGGGGCCTTCCCGCCGGCTTGGAGAGCTTCCAGGGGCAGCCCCCCCTCCCATCCCTGCTGAAGGATTTCTCAGCTTTGGTTAGACGTGGGCCCGTGGAAGATGTGTATACAAACCCCAGGCTCTTTCAACCTGGGCTATATGTAGATAGATACAGCGCAGTAGTGCAGTTATAGATCCTCCTCACTGAGGAGAATGTAACCATGGCTGGAAGAGAGTATTGGTAGCTAAAATTTCAGAAATTGAATTCTTTAGGAATACAGAAGTGCTGGTTTTCGCTGTGGCACTTACATTGATCTGAATCGATCTGTTTTACATCCTCACCTGTACTCCGGGACAATAGAAGGAAACTGTTGTAAACTCTTTTGCATGCTCATGCTTTATTATGTTGATTACTTTAAACCATTAGCATTGTTCCCAGGTCTGTCTTACTTTGTAGCCAGCCAGCGTGGGGAAAAAACAGGCTACTTACTCCTGCAGGTCCTTGAAGTGAATGACCTCAGCACATTTCTTCTCGTGACAATAATGGTTCCTCCTGCCAAATCATATCTGACTTCTTCCAAGTTGGTGCAGAAATATGTCAGTATCAGAAAAAAAATCTGAGTGCGACATGTTCAGAATTTTGCTGTCAAACTTGGTGGTACAATATCTACTGTTAATAATACAGGAAGCATATTTTGGCTGATATTCCTTGTTCCTATGACCGTTAAGGTAATCCTGCTCCTCATATAGTCCATGAATCCAAAATAATAAAGTAGAGTTTTGATGTAGAGGTTTGTTGCTGTCCTCATGTTTAGTGCATTGCTACTGAACCTTTAAACCCTTTGTTTGTTTAAAGTCTATTGAAGTTATAAGAGAACAAAAGCTATTATTGCCTTTCTGACCTTGTCCCTTTGAAGAAAAAATTAATGAAGTATCTACGCTTTTATTCTAAAGCACAGTATTAGAATTTTCACGGATTGTTTCTTTTTGAGAGGAATTAAATTCCTTTTTTTTTTTTCCCCCTCGCCTTTTCTTTCCCCTTCCCCCTAGACTGAACATATTTTGCTCTCTTTTGCTGATTTGACTCTTAGGATTACTGTTAGTTCCATCATCAGTAGGTTAAGTAACCTTTTTTCTGTAACATTTTCTGAAAAAATGTGTATGAAAAGTTTGTATTTCAATGTCTACAAGTTAACTCTATTTGAATGGCCAAAACCTGTCATCCGTGAATGGGGAACTTTCTTAAATTACTATTTCATAGTATTGAGAAAGTGATACATGCTGGCCCCTTCATCCCGGAATAGTGACAGTTTGTCACTGATGCTGAGGTGGTGGGATCTTCCTCCATCATTTAGCTTATGCTTTCTAGGGAGAATTCTCAAGACTGGAAAAGAGTCATGTACATATTGAATATTTCAAGGTGAAATGATTACTGTTGTTCCATGAAGTTTTAGTCTGTGACATATTGCTGGCCTGTCTTTTAAGTAAGATTTTTTTTCTGGTCTTGTTTCTCTTAGGTTCAGCATGGCTAGTACGTTGCAGGAAACACCTACACTTGAAGATTCTTATTCAGAAAATGTTGATGTGAAGCTATCCTTTCTACCTGAAAGACTGAGAAAGAAACTGCTTCCTTTTCAGGAGAAAGGCATCATATTTGCACTTCAGAGAAATGGCAGGTAAAATCCCTGTTCTATCATGTGCTAAAAGTAATTATTTTACGTAAACTTAAATTAATTTTTACAAAGACTTTGCGATACCCTCAGCTCTTAGGTGACCAATGTTACAGATTTTGTTTTTGTAAACTGTAAGATAATGTGAATTACGATGAGGCGTTGTTTTGTTTTTTCCCCAGAGGATGAAGAAATGTTTAATGATGCATTAGGTTAAAGGGGATTGTAGTATCAAAGGTCTCCTCAGTAAGAGGAGGTGATATCAGTAGGACCATCCTTTTTGTAATGTTAATAGGGAATTCTTAAAATAAGCTAATTCACATTTGAGTCTTTAGTTTTTAATGGCATGCTAGAGCTGTTAAGAGAATGACTAACAGATCTTGATGCATCTGTGTGGTATTCTATTTTAAACTTGGTACAGTTCTGGCATGTAATCAGGGTGTTCTGAAACTCACTGAGCTGCAACAGCAGAGCAGAAGCAGCCTTGCAAAGGGCTCATTTAGCAAGTGCAGCAACTGATAGAGCAGGCATTCAACAATTAAATACCTGATAAATCAGAAAAATAGTTTATGCAGCAGAGGCTGGAAATATTTTGCTGACTAAGCCTCTTACTGAGTTGAAGGGGCAAAGGAGAGGGAAGTGCTATTTCCACATTTATAAATTTTGGGAAATTCAGGCAATTACAACCTAAAGCCATGAAACTACTGTATGCTGTTCTTATGGAAAGTAATAACATTTTAGAGGTCTGGCACAAATGAAATTCTTTTAGCTTAGGTTTTAAAGAAGGATGCAATCAGTTTCTGAGCATTTCATCTTGCTCAGAACAAGAGTCTTAGGGTCTCAGGGGGTTACTTGCTAGCGTTTGAGTTTTTGCAGGAGAAAAGAAATGTGCGTCTCTAAAGCTGAAAAATTGGAAAGGAAATGTTTATCATCAGTTCTTGCAATTACATGGAACTTGTGATCAATAAACGTTTCTTTTGAAGATTTTCACTGTAATTCGTTTGTCCAAAAACCTCTGGCAATTGTAACATTGCTGTCTTCAAGGAATCAAGCAAGCCATCTGTTTTATGCTGCCAGACTAGGTAGTGGAGTAGCAAGATGAGGCCAGCCATTAACATGCAAGCCTGAGATTTAAAAAGCTTTATGCCATAATGGCATTAGCTTCTTTCTGACCACTGGTAACTTTCCTCCTGCACAGTGTGACTGTGAGAATGAATGCATACGGTTTTAATAGATCACTAAGACTTGGATAGAATAGACAGGAAGCTCTGCATTAGAGTTGAATTTAATAAATGCAAAGCCCTTGGCTACCATATCTCAGTTGATCTGATTGTAATATGAGGAAGTGAGGTTTATGTAGTATGCAATTGAGGTGCGTTTGTATACACCAACAGTGAAATAACAGAAGACATTAAACGTATATAGTTTCTTTAATGTTAATTAGAGTAGGCTAGTGGATGTATTTGAAAGTAGCATAATCCTTTGTATCCTATTATATAGATGTTCTTCAGGAAGCAGCTTAACTGTAGGACTAAATAAACTTCCATCAGATCTTTCTTGGGTTTGTTTGAGTAGTAACAAGCGCCTACAATAATTACCTCAAAAGGTTCACAATACCTAGGGTAATGACTTCCTGTCAAGGAGGGAATTGTGCTATTTTTCATTAGGATTTGGGCTTTATATTGTTTACTTTGCTTGAAATGCTTCACTAATGAAAGACAGTTGAGTAATATAGTGCTGATGGTTTTACCGTGGCAGGTCTAAGACAGTATCTTTATCATGATTTCAAGAAATTTGATTCCTTGGCATAGCAAATTCAATATGTTGGCTGGGTCAGACTGAAGAATTGTGTGCGCACTCTCAGCCAGCCTCTATCTAAAGCATTCATGTAGTAAGTCACACTTTCCTGAGGAGTATTTTTTTTTTTTAAATCTGACCCTTGCTCAAGCAGATCTAATTTTCTTTCTGTCCCACAACAGAGAACAAGAGTCTCTGCTACTTGTAGTTGAATTAGATCATCAGCCCTTGGCTCACCCTAGTCTTTACTTTTTGTGTACTCCTTCATGATTTAAGCATTCTTTCAGTATTCCCAGTGGTGTATTTTAGCAGGTCTTACTCTTAAAGTTTTGCTCTTTTCCGTAAAAGTGTCTTTTCTAGTTTTAAAGATATATAAACATAGGACTTGAAGTAAGCAGTATGTGCATCTCGGCTCTTCTTTCTTCTCTGCCTCAGGCTATGCGCTCCCTTTGCAGTCATCACTTAATCCAGGCTTTGCTGTAGTGGCAGGAAACTGGTGTAGAGCCAGTGCTCTATTGTTAGCTCAAGAGGTTCTGTTAGTATTATCTTATGTTAGACAAGCACCCAGTGTGGAAAAGGGGCTCATTATTAGAACAAACTTTTATTTCTTGCATGGGAGGGGCTGTGAGTAACCTATTAATTCCTCTGTCTTTTCCTTAAGCATAAAATAAATATGCTGTTGTTTGTGCTTTTGATTCATTAGTAAATGAGTCAAAGGCTTTTTCAGTAGATGCTCCAAAGGCATCATCTAGACTAACAGAGACTGCCTAATACTTTTCTACACAGGGGAAACACATAGGTAATTGTTCATTAGTTAAAACAGATTTTTAGTTCAAAGACTTTATCAGTCTTCATAGAAATTAATTTCTCCCTTCCCTCTCTCAAAGTAGACCAGAAAACCAGAGGCTTAAGTCACAATTTCCACAAAGCTTCTGAAGACAGTTAAAAGTTCTAGCTCCGGGTCATCACTGGAAAGGTAGAGGATATACACTGCTGAGGTTTTAGTCGTTGAAGCATAGAGATAATAGCTTTTGGTCAGGAAGCAAATAGAAATGTTTAGAATTCCCAGGCACAATATAGTCCTTTGTAGGGCCAAGAATTTCTGATAAAACTTATATTTAAGTCTTTGGACAAATTTCTAAACAAATATCATAGAATCATAGAATGGTTAGGGTTGGAAGGGACCTTAAAGATCATCTAGTTCCAACCCCCCTGCCATGGGCAGGGACACCTTCCACTAGACCAGGTTGCTCAAAGCCACATCCAGCCTGGCCTTGAAGACATCCAGGGATGGGGCATCCACAACATCTCTGGGCAACCTGTTCCAGTGCCTCACCACCCTCTCTGTGAAGAATTTCTTCCTGACATCTAATCTAAACCTCCCTGATTTCAATTTATACCCATTACCCCTTGTCCTATCACTACAGGCTCTTGTAGTGATATCTAACTTTTTAGGATGGTAGTGGTAAGGAGTGATAAGGATGCACAGAAATAGAGTCTAGATATCTCTGCATCACAGTAGACTAACGTTTTTTTTTCTCCTCTCCTGAAATTCAAGAATTCGCAAGTTCTTAGAAGTCCTTCTTCTGTATCTACTTTTGTATCTCATTCAGCCTGCCTGAACTTAAAAAAACCCACCCTATAGTCTGCACGTCCACTGCGTTGGGCAGGACTGGGGTATAAATGTGTCTTTTGATAGAATTTTTTAGCCCTTGTGGAAGAGGTTAAGCTTTCATTGTCTAGACTCTGAACTAGGTAGCCTGAATCAGGCAAATTCTTCTATATTAGCCATCCGGTAGTATGAAAGGCGTAATTTCCATTTGAGTTGAATATCTAAGGGAGTTACATTTCTACCTTCTGGAAGCTGATATAATAAGAGAAAATATGTTCGGTCTATATTTGCTTCCGTGCACATTTTAGTTTGTGCTAGAACAGTAGGTCCTTTTCTCTTACACTGTTATTTAACTATTTTTCCCTTTCACTCTTATTTTTGTCATTTTTACTGAGCTTGGTTTTGGTTTTTATGTTGTCTATTAATCTTTCTTCTCTATAATGCCACTGTTTCTTTCTGTCTTGTATTGCCTTTTTAAGTTACTGGAGCTTTTGTTTACTCTGCTTTCATCTTTACTGGTTTTTGATCCATGATTACTGATTGGTTTGCTTTTTCAGCATATTTATTTTCTTCAGTTTCTTATCTTTGATAGTTGCTATGAATAAGAAAATTTCAGAGAAGAAAATAGATCCCTTTTTTTCTTCCATTTCCATTTTGAAGCACTAAGCCTGGATGTAGGTTTACATATCTGTCTACATCTAACTTCTCTCCTTTGTTTGAAAGGTCATAGGTTGCTCCAAGTCTATGTTGTGCTTAAATGCAAGGCCAACTGCTTTTTATCATTGAGTAAAATAATTTTTTTTTTAATTGTTATTTTAAACCATGTCGCCGATTCTAAAAAAAAAAATATTATCAGACATATTTTACATAGCTACTGTCAGATTGTCCCCCGGTATTATTTCTCAGTATTTCTTTTCTGGGAGATGTGGCATTTTTTTCAGTTGAATTTTGCGTTACTGTTTTTATCTCTGTTAGAAGTCTTCACAATGCTGCAGTCTATTAGTTGTCTTAATGCCTTAATTTAACTTAAGCAAGTAGCATCCAAGTTTGTTTATGTAGTGAAAACATTAGCCATTTATTTCTAAAGGAAGAAAAGTGTAACAGGAACGGTTGACATGGAGAGTTTGTTTTATGGATCTACAGCTATTTGATAATTATCAGTATATTGTGTTTGACATCAGTATTTACGGACAACATTTGTAAGAAGAATTTTTCTTCAAGTTTTATTCATATTGGGCCATTTTATTCTGAATAAGTTGCTGGAAATCTTAGTGAGCATTCTGACTAGTTCCTTGTAAGCACATAACAAGGACTATCCTTATGCTTCAGTTAAGGATGTAGAACTAGTGTAAGTACAAACAGAATGACTTTAATGACTCCGAATGTTGAAGTATCACTGTTGTGGTCAGACTGGAGTTAGTCTGAATTCTTGTTATTCAACTTGTGATCAAGATGACCTTAAGATAGAAACTTCAGAGTTTAACATAAAGAAGATAAATTCAGAACTGAACAAGATGAACTTAATCATAGTCTCTTTTTGGAGATCTGCTTATTCTCTCTGGTTTTGTCACACTGACTTTGAAAGTTGCCAAATTAA